GTAATTTTTTATTCGCGAAGACGGCCGTTCCGGGATAAAGGAACTTTGATCAACAACCCTATATATATATGTGCGTGTGTGCGTCTGCGTTTATATTTTTACTTGTGCTGTTTTAAATGCATTTAAACAAAATATAAGTATACATATGTAATTAATTGTTGTCAGTTATGTTTACAGCAATTTATTTATTATTTACTTTTTCTATATTTATATTTATACCGGTATATTCGCTTACTGACAGGCAATCACTTAGAACCATTTATTTCCAAACAACCCACTCTCACACTTAGAACCCAACGATTCATTTGTTTTACTTGGGGTTCTATCTGTGAGGTTTTTCTTTGACAGCAGGCTCTTATTGTGAAAGCTGCACCAACAATTTTCCTCAGCAAATGCAATTTAGCGTCCTTCCAATTTAGCCTTTCTGTTGCGCCAATGGTGAGACAAAATGCCCCATGTGAGATTTGATCGTTGTGGAGAAGAAACAGCACCCCCCCGATTTTTCATTTATTTTTGGTAGGATGATATACAGAGAAATTACAGAGATTTATTCAACCAATGGTCTTGGCCAGAGGTTCTTGCTGTAAGCACTCGCAAGGGCACAGGCACAGGTATATGTGAGTTCACATTATTCATATACCAAAAAAATAAAAAAACATGATATGACATATGTATCTTTGTGAATTTATTTATATATATATATATATATATGCACCAAAAAGGTTCGAAGTGTGAGCACCCGCGAATGCAGAGACAAATGTGAGTTGGCAGTACATGGTTCAAATCACAATGTATCTGTGGTATGACAAACATACATTTGTGAATACACGTCTGTATTCAAAGAGCCTCAAAGTGTGAGCGCTCGCATGGGCACTGACGGATGTGAGTTCGCACAACACGGGTTCGTATACAACGTATCTATGATAGATACCAGTAGTACCGCACAAGACGGTGGCGGAAATTTCCAAAATAGGACACCCATAGTTGTGTCCTTTTCATTAACCCTAATGCAATTTCATTTACTTATATGACATGTTGTTTGTATTACTATGTATTATGTACCTTCCGGGGGCTGACGTCCCGACCAGGAGCCAAGTGCAGAGAAGGAGCCAAGGAACCCAAGAGGAATGCAGAGGGAGAGTTTCCAATCACCACCGGTTGCAGGACGTTGTCCGAGTTTACTTGGCGAACAAAAACCGTAGTCTGAAATTTGATTGTTGACCAACATTTCGACGGAACGGCTATGTGGGGGTGCCGGAATTTGATTTGCAAATATTGATTTATACCAAGAATATGATGAAGTCACTTTGCGTGTTGTGTTTGTATGTTTCTTATCTGTTCGCGGAGTTTTTTTTTGTGTGCTAACGGGCTCAGTACGAAGCCGCCGACATCTTGGAAAATGCGCCGATTTCCTGACGACAATTATATAAGGTTTTGCAGCTGATAGGGGGTCTTTAGAATTTGATTCTAGGGTCCTTGGTGATTTAGTTCTACCTCTGATTGTGTGATATATGTTTTCCATTATTTATTTCTTTATCTATCTTATCTATCAAGGTAGGTGGCCTTGGTATATACTAGTGAAAATGATCCCAAAGGAAAGATCGTCTTGGGTTAGTGTCCCTTGGATGTTTCAATATATTGTTACTTCTTATCCGCCATTCGGCAATCATGCCAAGATGGGGGTTGAGAATTAGTGTCTCCATCCATTTACCCTTCTATTCGTGGAAGTGCCAGTCAGAACAAACGATCACCATTCGATCGTAGTTCAAATATGTTTTTTTTTGGGTTGGGTACTTTGATAAAATATTATATATATTATATATATATATATATCAATATATGCAGCCGATAGGGGGTCTTTGGAATTTGATTCTAGGGTCCTTGGTGATTTAGTTCTACCTCTGATTGTGTGATATATGTTTTCCATTATTTATTTCTTTATCTATCTTATCTATCAAGGTAGGTGGCCTTGGTATATACTAGTGAAAATGATCCCAAAGGAAAGATCGTCTTGGGCTAGTGTCCCTTGGATGTTTCAATATATTGTTAATTCTTATCCGCCATTCGGCAATCATGCCAAGATGGGAATTGAGAATTAGTGTCTCCATCCATTTACCCTTCTATTCGTGGAAGTGCCAGTCAGAACAAACGATCACCATTCGATCGTAGTTCAAATAGTTTTTTTTTGGTTGGGTACTTTGATAAAATATTAAATATTTTATATATATATATTAATATATGCAGCAGATAGGGGGTCTTTGGAATTTGATTCTAGGGTCCTTGGTGATTTAGTTCTACCTCTGATTGTGTGATATATGTTTTCCATTATTTATTTCTTTATCTATCTTATCTATCAAGGTAGGTGGCCTTGGTATATACTAGTGAAAATGATCCCAAAGGAAAGATCGTCTTGGGTTAGTGTCCCTTGGATGTTTCAATATTATTAATTCTTATCCTTCTTTCGGTAGTCATGCCAAGATGGGGGTTGATAATTAGTCTCTCCATCCATTTACCCTTCTATTTATGGAAGTGCCAGTCAGGACAAACGATCACCATTCGATCGTAGTTCAGATAGGTTTTTTTTTGGGGTTGGTACTTCGATAAAATATAAAATAAAATATTGTTATGCGACGGATGTGCGGATGCGACGGATACGGGGTCCCCCAAGCCAAAAGATCGGCAATTTTTTTTTTCCTAAATCTCAAAATCAAGGACCCCGAATCCTCTGCGGCAAAAATCATGGTAGAATATAATAGTAGGGCTGTTTCCCAAGTCCACATGCCAATTTCTGCACCCTGAGATCGGCATTTTTTTTTTCCTAAATCCCAGGGTACAACCTCTGTATTGCCCAAGTCTAGGTGCAGATTTTTGCGACCTTACTTAGGCAATACCCCACCAAACACCTAGGATATCGTCAAATTTTTTTTTTCCTAACTCAGGGTGCTGATTTCTGCGCCCTGACTTCGGCAAATTAGCTGTTGGACATTGCATTTAAAGGATATATGATGTAGATGTAGAAATAATGGGGGAAATTTAGTACTTGAAAAAAAATAATGATAATCAGGGATAACATTAACATTGGTGGCTTTATACCAAAGGTATATGGGGGCACCACCCTAGAAAAAACAAGAGCGTGGTTGATACCTTTTCCATTTTGATCCAGCAATTGGTTGGTACCCTTCAGAAATGGTAGTGGACCCCAGTTAATCCAAGGAATATAATAAAATAAAATAACCCTAACCGTTACTGGGATGATATCAATTTAGCCAACCAAGTGGTTGCCTAAGAGTGAACATAATAATGCACATAAAATGTTCTATGAGTATGGTAAAAAACAAATAGTTATATTAAATAACCAATGGTAAGATGATACCCATTTAATCAACCAATTGGTTACCTCATAGGGAAAATAATAAAGTACCTATAATACAATTCAATTCCACTATCATATATTAAAAAGTTGGAAAGACCCAAGAATCCATTTCCAGAGAACCCAGATCAATTGCACAACATAGATATAATATATTCTATATTTTATCGAAGTACCCAACCCCCCATTAAAAAAAAAACTATTTGAACTACGATCGAATGGTGATCGTTTGTTCTGACTGGCACTTCCACAAATAGAAGGGTAAATGGATGGAGAGACTAATTATCAACCCCCATCTTGGCATGACTACCGAAAGAAGGATAAGAATTAATAATATTGAAACATCCAAGGGACACTAACCCAAGACGATCTTTCCTTTGGGATCATTTTCACTAGTATTTACCAAGGCCACCTACCTTGATAGATAAGATAGATAAAGAAATAAATAATGGAAAACATATATCACACAATCAGAGGTAGAACTAAATCACCAAGGACCCTAGAATCAAATTCCAAAGACCCCCTATCGGCTGCATATATTGATATATATATATAAAATATATTTATATTTTATCAAAGTACCCAACCCAAAAAAACCTATTTGAACTACGATCGAATGGTGATCGTTTGTTCTGACTGGCACTTCCACGAATAGAAGGGTAAATGGATGGAGACACTAATTATCAACCCCCATCTTGGCATGATTACCGAATGGCGGATAAGAATTAACAATATATTGAAACATCCAAGGGACACTAGCCCAAGACGATCTTTCCTTTGGGATCATTTTCACTAGTATATACCAAGGCCACCTACCTTGATAGATAAGATAGATAAAGAAATAAATAATGGAAAACATATATCACACAATCAGAGGTAGAACTAAATCACCAAGGACCCTAGAATCCATTTCCAAAGACCCCCTATCAGCTGCAAAACCTTATATGCTTGAGGCAAAAACGTGCACAGTTGATGATGTTGCCAGGGCCCAAGCAAAAATCTGAGAGCAACCTGTGCACCATGTTCGGTTCAGTTCAATCAATGCACATTTTCTAGGGGGACGATTTTTTGTCTGTAATTTTGCACTCGTTTATTTTTCGGATTTGGTTTGCGCCACTGGCGCACAGCGCGTGTAGCAGCAAGAAAACATTGCTTCACCAGCCTGAGGTTCCGGTCAGAGTATTCGAGGTTTTGTAAAGAGGCACAGGGAGCCATGCCGGTATAAAGGATACGAAATGCGAAATCATTGGTTCTTTTTGCGACCATGTGCTTCCACCATGCTTCCAGCAAAGGCATATGACCAAACAATATCAAACAATTGTTCAGGTGCTGTTCTTTGTCCATCTCTGACTGGATTGATTTTATTTTCGGATTTGGTCGCCGTATGAACTTGTGAACAAGGCTGGGCACAGTTCTGCCGTGTAAAACATGATTTGGGTTCACAGATTGGGTTGTTTCTTCCAAATGCCACACTTATTCTCGTTTTTTTGGGTTTGGATGATTGGCCAGACAAATTCCATTGGTGGGGTGTTTTAGACCCGTTGATGGTGTGCAAGAGGGCCATGTTACGTGTCAGTTTCCTACAGTTGCTATCGTAAGGCGACCTGTTGGATTAGCAGTTGGACGCCAATTAGCAGCTGGAACATGGTTTTTTTCTCCCATATAGTGGCAATAAGCATTCCAACTGACTGATATTTTTCACAGGGGCTGAAGCCACCAACAAAGAATTTGTTTTGCAAATTTCAGCCGCGACGTCACTGGAAATGATGGTTGGTAAGGGGCACTTGGGGATCACCAGTCATTGTTGTTTTCTTGTGCGTTTTCCTGGTAAGTTTTTAAAGTCGTTTGAACACCTTTATATACCTGTTTATTATTGTTTATTTACGTGTGTGCTACCTACCCTAAAGGGCACATTTTTCATGTCACTAGTAGTGATCGCCCACAATCAACCCAGGGATGAAATGGACCATATGGGGTCCTCAATTGCCTATAGGGAACATTTGCTGACAGCAGTTTTTAACCTCAATTCAGGTTCTTCATTTTTCATTTCAAAAAATATTTGTTGTATCCTCTCTCAATATTGTTTTTAAGTCACCGGAACCCGGGCACTGCTTCTTGGATGATTTTAGAAGGTAACCGGGTTCCGGGTCGAATGAAAAAGGCGATTTTGTTGTAACCTGCTTGGTGGTTTCACTTGTTTCTTGATTTTCCATAATAGATGTGGTAATCCTTCCCATTGACTTTCATATTTTTCAACATTCCTAAAACCACCAACCACCAACCAGTAATTTTGGTCTCCACCCGCAGCGATGGTTCGAAGTTGCCAGGTGATGGGGCTCGAAAGCGTCCCGGCGGACTCGGTGGACCGATGGCTGTTGGAACAGTTGGCGCAGCCGGGAGGTGGGCCGAACGACAACGGGTGACCGGAGGATATCCAACATGGAGAGTTGACGATCAAATAAGATGATTGTTAGAAGATCAAACTTCAAACAAGTCGAAAATTATAAACATTGGAAGATATTGGAAGTGGCACAAACCAAATAGAATTGATTATCCAACTTAATCAAAGATTATTTTTTGGGCGGATCAATATTCTTTAGCCAGCCAAAGGGCAAGGAGCCAAACTGGCCAATGATCCGGACAACGCGAGGATGCCAGAGAGATTTGGGTCATGTACGTATTGGTGGTGTAATGGACGGCACAAGTGGCAGAGCTAATCCAAGCATTTCAGGTTGATGATCGTTAACATAAAGGTACAAGAGTTACAAGACCAACAACATTGAGAGTTTTCGTTCTCAAGAACAGTGGGTTCACAGCAGTTTTGGGGGCGAAATATGGTTGGAAAAACGATTTGGTTCAGCGAATAATTGGTTTTAAACATGTATTTACCATGTGTTGTCCGACCGTATGTATTCTCCGAATGTGTGACACGTCCGATATCTTTTTCAGATAGAGGACTTTTTTTTTGTTTAAACAAAATCCACCTAATTCCGTCCTTAAAACCACCCACACTCAACGCGTGGCATGTTTGATGGGGTCATCAGGGAAGACATACTTGTCGTTTTGATTCCTGAGAAATTGCCACATGCACACACACGCACACGCGCACACACACACACGCACACACACACACGCACACGTATATATATAATATCCCTCGCACTAGCTAAATTAAACCAGGTGGACACTGAGTTAGGTTTAATTTTTTTGGTTTAATTAAAAAATTCTTACGAAAACAGGGGGTCCACCCACCTCCTTAAGATCCTGAAGAAAGTTGAGTTGGTTTAATTTTGAGATGTGACCCACCCCATGGTTTAATTTCAGCTGTTGTAGCTCATTGTGCATTGGAGTGCAAGTTGATCATGGTGGAGAGAGATTGGTGAGATACAGGTGTCAAAATAATTCCAAAGTAGCAAGTCCAATGAGATTCCATCAGGTTCCTTCCTTTGTGATGACCAAAGATGAAAATTCAAGAAAAAACAATGAATCATGATAACACCAAAGGTATCCCAACACATGAATCTTTATGAATGCCAAGAACATGTGGACTTATCCACCCCTTGTTTAATTATTCTGGTGACCATCAATGCCATGGATATTGTATGATATTATGGTGTTGGGGGTGCCCCAATGGAAGAATTGATCCTGAATGCCCAGTACATGTGGACTCACCCACCCCTTGTTTAATTATTCTGGTGACCATAAATCCCATGAATATTATGGTGCCAAAGGTGTCCTGATGAATGAATGTTCAGTACGTATGGACTCACCCACCCCTTGATTAATTATCCTGACCTGATCTGGGATCACGCAAGGGGCCCGAAACAGATAGAAACAGTTTACCATGGTCCCGCAGCGCCTTTCCCATGGACTTGCTCTGCTTGAGATGGAGCATTTGGGCTGCAGCAATGCTGTTCCCAACTGTGCAAGAACCTTGCTGTCCACGCCGGATCGTCTTCACGGAGCTGTGCTAGGACACGTGTCAGGAACCATGGCTGCAGTATCCCGAGGCGGAACACGAGGCAGCACAATGAGCTAAAACGGCTGAAATTAAACCATGGGGTTTAATTTTGAGAAAGTTGAGTTGGTCCACGCACCTGAAGGGAAAAATGGTGGGCGCAACTGTTTTTACACCAAGTCTCACTCACATGTGTAGAACCAGGTGGTTTAATATTTGGTCTTGGCAAAACAAAATCAACCCAATGATCCTGTAAAATTAAACCAGGTACTGCCGAGTAGCTTGTTTAATTTTTAGCTGGGGGATGCTGGGTGGGACCTGAACTGGATTTTTCTGGATTAATTTCTTATGTTAAAAATAAACGGAGGGTATGTTTGACTGAAGAATCTTGGAAAAACCCATACTGCAGGGGACCCCATTTAATTAAAAAAATAAACCAGGGGTCCCACCCCCCCCACCAATTACCGATAGGGATATTATATATATATATATTTTTGTACTTATATATATATATATATATATATTGTTTTTTTCATGTATGTCACATGTGTGCATATGTTTTCTCACTTAGGGGGTGGTGCTTGCCATTGCCACACAAAATTTGTTGTTTTGATACAGAAGCTTTGGTACCGTTGGTTTCGGTAAAAAAAATCCACGCATTCCATTTTTCAAGTTTCGCTTCTAGCTGTGTAGCCATTTCTTTGCTGATTCAACATGGTTTGTTGTCTCCTTGGGATACACCGTGTGTCACACCGTGTGCTACTGCGATATTGCCACTGCAATAGACAACCAGGTGGGCCTGATCCACTACTACCACGACCTCGTATTGCAGTTGGTTGGCCCAGGATGTTTCAGGTTGTTCAGGTGCCAAGGGCAATTGATGGAATTAGAGTTCATGAGGGATGCTGGTTGTAAAAAAGAACCCGGCCAACCTTGCCAGCAAAGAACGAGTTGAATGTTTTCCACTATATACCGCCGCTGTCCCCTGTCGGCCCCATGCCACACCAAGGAATCCTCTAGGGTTTTGTTGCGAGAGCTGTTGGCCGAGGTGCCGCTAGCATATGAAGGGTCGCCTGGAGAAAAAAAAATCGGCAGGATTTTGAAGTTTACCAGCTTCTGCTACTGTTAGATTTACCAGTACGGATGGGAATGAGCACTCCCATTTCATCGGCGAAAATTTCATTATTTTCTGAATTGTAAGAAAGGTTTGGGTTCAGCCAAACCAACCATTTTTTTTGAGAATCTCCAGCAAGGGGCAATTTGAGTTGAATCGTTTTGTGACATGATCATATACCAGTCATGGCTTTTCACCTGGCCAATCGTTGGGAGATTAAAAGATATCATTTAAATTGTCATTTATCGGCCCGACGATTAGGCTCAAAAAAATACGTAAAACAAAAAAAAATAGTGAATAATAGGGGATAATCATGCAGTTATTCCTTGCAGCCCCGGACTCAGCATTTTTTAGAGAAAAAAAAACGCACATAAAAGGCTAGTGGGTGAAGTGTTGCAACAATTCCGCAAACAGACGGGGTCATGGTAGATCATTCCCAGACAAAAACATGGCCACGGGATGAAACAAATAGTTTCTAGGACTTATTAAAAAAAAACATTAAAAAAACAGCGTGGGGGTAGAACTTCTAAAACTCCATACTCCATACGGTCAATCTCAAAAGATGGGATGGGAACAACACACAAGTGCTAAGATCAAACACACTATTTTGGATGTACTGGCTATGGCTATGACTCTGCGATTTCACGTATTTTTTCCCCCCTGTTTTGGTTTGCCTAGGACTACGCTCCGGTGGTGCGGTCCTAAAATTTATTTAGAAACTGAACGGTTTGGTCTGGAAACATTTGGGAAAAATGTTGCAACTTTGAATGCTGGGGTCCCAACTTAATTTTCAGAGATGCAACATACAAATGGATCTTGGGTACGCCCCAAACGAATCTCTCGTTTAGTGCTTGGTTTATTCAAATTATACAGGTTTCAAATAATTAGTAAGTGGGACGGATTACCACCAACTGAAAGGTCGCAGGGGCACATCACAGGCCTGCTTGGCTCCGCAGGTTCCCATGCGTTGCCATTCCCGCGTCACTGGTAGGTCGGGTTTTTTTGACAACGAGGTATCTCAACCGGGGGCTGGATATGGATCAAGGGCGTTTCGGACCCAAAAACCACAGATTTGGGTTACTGGGTTACAGTAAGGTTCTTAGGCATCGATCCCCTTGCTATATATTAAATGTTGATCCGTATCCAGCCGCATCCTATCAGCACACATGAATTTAAGCAACAAGTCAAACAACCTGATGGTATCATAAAATCAATCAAACCCAATTGCGCAGCTTCGGCACTTGGTCACATTCTGTACGTCACTTGGTCCTTTCCTGAATGCTCTCGTCGTGAAAAATGTTGTTTTGTTTCTGCCTCCCAGTTCTGGTCGGGTGATTGACAGGCTCGCCTATGAACAACTGACACGGTCGCTGGCACCCAGTTTCATCGCAGCTGAGACCTGTCATGATTCCAGCCATGTCTAGCCATGTATGGGTGAAAAGTGAGTACCCAAAGATGTTTTCTAGTTCTGGATTGCAGTAGTGCACGTAAGTTTTGAGATTTTTTGAGATGATGTGGGTTTGTAATTCACGCAGCATCAAGCCAGTGGGAACAGTGACATAATGATATGTTTTAGTGCCAAAAAGGGAACAACATCAGATAACATCAGTGCTTCATACATGTTTGACCCTGACGCAGTTCAGCTTCCAGCATCAGGGAAGACCTCATTGATGGTATGGTCTGCCATATGTGTATACATATAATGTCTTCCAAAGATGTTCTTCCTCGCTGGATATGAGTTTTTGCATTTTGCCAAGTCAGATTCAAACAGATCCACTATCATCCACTGTTTCTTCAAGGTACCTCAAGAGTGCCAGGGCCTGGCTTAGCCGACTGCAGGAAACCCGTGGCTTGGGGGAATGCTGAGGGAAATGGGCGAACTGGGAAGAAAACCGGGAAATGGTAACCTCCAAAAAAGGCAAGTGGTGATTTTGAACGCCATGGATTTGTAACCCGAAAAATTGGAGGTAAACAGGCAAAATGGATTACTTCCTTTCAGCCGACAGGCATGACACTGAAAGATCTACATGTTTTATATAAAGGTAAATAATCTACAAATTGGGATTTTCCATTGAGCAACCATCCCAGATGATGGGGAAAAAGGCAGGCAACAAGTGCACTGCGACTAGTCAGCAGAAAGGGAAATAACAATCCAAAAGAGTAAGCGAAGATAGATTAAACCAGCCAAACTTGGAGGTATTGAATCCAACGAAATCATTTTTCATATAAGCACAGGCCAAAGGGCAATCGATTATTGTCTTGGGATTTGGGTTCATTTAGGTGAGATGTGGATGAGATCGACACCTATGTCATCCTGTATCTCTCAGCTATTTCTAGGCTTTGAGACAGCTGGATCCATTTTGCGCCTCAGCAGTTTCTATATCCATGGCGGATCCATCTGTTTCTATTTGTACTGAAGTCGCTTCTATAATATCCACTTGGATATGTGGCCCCATATATGTCGCGCATTTTGTTGGGGGGTGGAATTTGGGTAGAACTGACGGGCAATGCGAAGGGCATGTACCCACTGGATGTGAAAGGTTGCATCTTGGCTCCAGTGATCAACAAAGTGTGGTCACTCGACTGATGAGAAAACGCATGGGGCATGACATGCATAATTTTTGGAAGTGCAAATATTGAGATGCATTGGGGTGGTTTGACCTCTGAGCCCAAACAGATGAGTGTCAGGAATTTTTGGGGGTGCCTTTTCCAAATTAATCATGATGATTTGGCCAATGTCAAATGTTTTCAATCTTCGGTTCAGTCAAAATGCCCTGATTCATACAGTTTTCCTATTTTGTGTAGTCGAAATAAGTCGAAGCGGTCGGAATTCAATTTGCACCGGTCCACCATCATCCCGTCCGCAGCAAGACGACTCAGCACAAGGCAGCTGAGATGTGCGAAATCAATGGGATTTCATTGCTTGTGTCATGGGGGGATTAAGTTTGATTATCATGACCCAGTATGGAAAGCGTGGATGATGTGGATGTGCCGTTAACGGCTGCTTGTTGATATTATCAGATATGTTGGGTATCAAAAGCACAGGGGCTCAACCAATTGTAAGGGTTTCTTTACCATCTACTTTTTAGGGGTCACTTTGAGGATTTTTTTGCAACTTTACAACTCCCAAAGCAACAACGTAGCACCGTAGCAGCCCCATAATAAATCCTTTCGATGTGATCGCCAGCTGCCAAACTCACGTTCTATCACTGATCATTCACTTATCATGGGGTTCCATGTTTGGTTTGGCAACCATCTTAAGGTGAAAAATATACCAGTTATATATATGTGTATATGTGTATATATATATATGTTTATATATATATATATTTCTCAATAAATGCCCAATAAATATCATTAAAATATCAATAAATCTCAATCATCCGCTGCAATTTGTGCTGTTTTGATACGCAACAGCTGGGCCCAGGATGACAGAGGAGATCTTGAGCGACTCGTCTGGTGTTTATCACATCTTATAGTTTGTTCATACGATGATAAACACCAAAAGTTGATAACTAGTTCACTATAGTCTGTTAGTCTAGTTTGGTTATTTCAGATGATGTGCACATTTGAAGCCAAAAACGGATCAAACTAGGTGCAAAAATGCTGGGATTGGAGGCGTTTGAGTCTGGAACATCGTTCAGCTGATCTTTGCTGTAACTCTGCAGGGCTGTTTCCATGCTTCCCACCTATTAGGGGCCGCAAGTTGTGAGGAAAGCCGTTCCGCCTGCCCTGCGAAGTGGTCCTGCCCAATCGGATTTGCAAAACGGCCACGTCGGAGCATTTGGCGCATCCCATCACTGGAAGCCTGGCGTTACGCCGTTTGTTTGTTTATAGCTGGCGGATTTGCACCGCGTTGACCCAATGTCATTGTGGATATTGTGGTGGGTTTCAGCAACAACCAATTCTGTCTGGTTTGCAATGTTGCCATGTTCACTTGCAGCCGGGTAAAATATATCAAAGTGACTTGATTCATGCCATGTGGATGCTCACACCGGTGAGTCAAGATGGACCCAATGAAGCGATGCAGTCGCGTTGCATCTTGGGGCACCTGGTACCCACCATGTTTTTTTTCCCCCTGGGCTACTGGAGGGAATCTAAGTTGATGTTTTTCGAAATTGAAGCACCCAGGTACCCCACACCACCAGTGGTTTTTTTATTGTCTCCATATGAAGTGAACCAGTTTGAATCACTTCCTATCATCGTTGTGGTTTATCCAACTCTCACGACGTGGCCGCTTGGCCGACTTTGTCAAGGAGAGCCACTGAAGGCCATGGTGGAACTCTACCGCGCCTGGGCCGAGGGCGGCAGCGGGTTGATCATCACCGGCAATGTCGCTGAGCTGCGTAGCTGCGGGGGACGGTTTGGCAGTGCTGATATCAATGGCCATTTCAGGAACCTAAATTGGAGGTACCTACCATATATAAGGCCTATGTAAGGGAATATCCCCAAAAAATATGGCCTTATATGGTACAGTACTTCCATTTTAGGATCCTGAAATTCCCATTGACGATAAGCTCAACAACTCTACCACTGAGATTTTTTTTGATGTTTATGATTCTTCAAGTTTGCGAAGTTGATAGGTTTATTCTAGTCACCCGATGGGGAGCCAGCTACAATCCGAGTTTCGCCACCGCATGATATATTATAGCAATCCATAGCAATGCCCAAAAATATAGAAAAGGAACCATTTAAACACTCTTTAACTAGGATTTTACGTTTGTATTGATTGTTTGTTGATTTTTTTGTTGGGGGTCACTATAAGCGCTTTTTTTTTCCGATTGAAGCACCATGAATTTCTGGGGGCTCCAACCAAGGTCATGGTAGATGAGCGCCTTAGCGGCAATATCATAGTTATAGTTCTTGCCCTGCCTGACTGACATGTCAAGAACGCCAGTAGACCGATTCTCTCTAGTTCTGTATTGGATCTCTTTATTTACATGGTTCCTTGCCGGGTTATTCCATAATATTCCAAATGATGATCATATCATATCTTATCATATTATATCAATATCCTTTCTCTGAAACTATGATCATTACAAAGCCCCTTCAGCTAAGTGAAAAAGAATACTATGGAATAGAATTTAGTTCCCACTTGATCGTCGGTTGAACTATATCATAGATTATCATACTTGGGGGTGCAGTTCCACTATTGAGTGGTTATAAGTGGCGTATATTTCACCATGGTAGGGGCCCCATCTCACAACGTTTGGATGTTAGAATCCCATAGCTATACCGTTAGATCATCCCGGGCCTGCACCCCCAAGATTCCCCCAATACCGGGTGAAATATGCCCCTAGCAATCCGCTAGTTGAATTATATTATATTTAACACATTCTCAACTAACGGACCATTGAATCATGATCATGGGATATATCTAGATATATTGATATATCATAATTTAATCATTACCATGGAATAGATTTAGATCTATGATATACCATTGAATCTACTAATCAATACCATGGAAATGGGATTTCTTTCCAGCGACCGTTGGTGAATCATGATAGGCACCTTGAGGGCCCCGGCAACGTGATCTGCCGAAGCACTACGCCCTCAGCGATTTGGCGAGTTCCGCGACTGACAGTGACCGGGGCCAGGTACCTGCGTGACATGTTTAATTTTTGCATATAGGATGTTTATAGGATTGTCATTGAAAATTCTGAAGGTCGCAGAGTGGGTGGATTTAATTGCGGTGGTTGAACCATTTCTGGTGGTTGAATTTTCATGGAATATTCATGATGTTTTTAGGGAATTTCATTGTATATATATGATAGTTATGGTAATCTGTCAGTTGGCTGTGGAACCTCACCAGGGGTAAATTATCGAACTCTATAAATGGACAATTTTCCATAGCTATGTCAGGTTACTGGCGAATGCATATCAAATTTTTGGGAGGTCAGATGTCCATGCAATGTGAGCCCCGTAATATAGGTTGGTTTATAAACCATTACACACCCATTTGACAGAATAATTATTATACATCATATTTAAGTATGATTATTTGTCACTGGTATTAATATAATCATTAATATACACCCATTTGAAGTATACCATGGTCCCAGTCCCAGTTCTCCTAGGCCTTGCCAGTCCACCCTGATGAATCCATGGCAGTTGACGTCAGGAATGGGCAGAGGCCAGCAAGACATGCCGCAAAGGCAGCCAGGAGCGACCAGTCGCCATCGTGCCACTGGACCAAACGGCCATTCAGTGCAGCTGCGGTTGGGACATAGCCCGGATACCTGCGGTTGAAACCAGCAAAAAAAACGCATGAATTGTTTGTATGATTTAAACTTCAACGAGATTTCGGATTCAACGGGTGATCCTTGTGATAATCATCTGCAGACATATTCTGAAGATATATATAAGCAAATATATGGAACAATGATTGATGATCGAGCCGACGAATATTGTGATACAACAAACATCCCAGTTGGATGTCCTTGGAAATCAGCTGGAAGTGGTTCACACCTGGCAACAGTACAAGTTGTTTTCGATAATAAGGGGAACAAATTGGCTGTCCATGGTAAACCCAGGGAACATGACATGTAACTCCTTGGCCAATTTGTTGAATAAGTAAGATTTCCATGTCATGTTCCCTGGGTTTACCATGGACCTACCCTTTATATCCAGTTGGTGCTAACCTCATATCACGGTAACATCGCGGAAAAGCTGAGGCAGTTGTCCCATCCAGGACGTCAAAGCCCACCCTCCGTGAGCCTCCGGCGCCCGGTGGCACCTTCCAACGTGCCCTTTCGACTCCCTGGGGTTGGCATCCAACTTTTCCGCAGCCCGAGGCGTTGGGGCTCACTGGTGGGTACAGTACTGGTAAAATATATGGTACTTAAATGTACTTAATGGGTGGATAATATGACATAATACCACTGGATGGCAGTGTAATAATGTATAATATGGTTTTTGAATGGGCATATGGGTGCCCATTCATCACTCATTTTTGTGGATCTTTATATACGGCAATGAATGGGTGAAGTCGCTGCAGACACACCACGATGCCTTGGATGAAATATGGTGCCCGGCATGTTGCCCTTAAATCACCCGATCTTTGGCTGGTCCTTTCAATATTTTCAATCATTTGCTTATGTTCCATCCTGAGAACTCTTGGAATTCATTGAATCTATTCATTTTTAGGGTTTCCTTTTTAGGGCCTATTTACAGAAAGACTTGGGTTGGATGATTTTGCTGCAACCACCAGTGGTTTCAACGTGTTTTTGCACGGCTGGTCAGGACCCTGACAACGGAGGAGGTCAAAGCACTTCCCACGAAGTTTGCCAATGCCGCGGTATCTTGGCTGGGCCACATCGGGACCAGCTGAGGTTGGACGATGTTGGACGGGGAAACAGAGTAATCTGGGTAAAACAATATACAATGTCACAAACCACCCATTTTGGAATGGTTTATAATGTTTATAGCACCTATTTAGTGTGATTTCGGAGATGGTTTATTATTGTTTTACCTAAATTATACGATATAGAGGTATGATTTGATAGCTAGTATAATATGTGCGGTGGTATTTACAAATTATCTTCATACATGTGTCTATATATAATTTAAAATGTATAATATAAAAAAAAATATATAGTATATAATATGCATAGCACCTTTACATAGCAATGTAGGCAGGTGCATGCAAACATATCACTTTGTATAATCCAGAATTCGCTATTCCAAATCTTGACCGATAAAATCAAAAAGGTTAGCTGGTAAAATCACAAGTCTATATAGTGTAGTGTGTAGCATCTACATGTTAGCTAACCTATTTTTGCTGGTAAACAACCAATGTTCACTGGTTTTACTTTTCATTAAATTAAATCATTTTTTTAATTGCCAGCCATGTTTTATCATGTTGGTCCGGTTCAATCCTTTTTGTGGGCAGGCTTTAGAAGGCCACGCGCCCAGGCGCTCGCGGTTGCCGCCGGCTTTGACGGTGTCCAGATTCATGCTGCGCACGGATATCTGCTGTCGCAGCCGCTTGTGGTCTGCGGGAAGGGATTGGAGGTGCCCACAACATGGTCAGGTGGTATACCCTCTGGTAAACGTTTACCTTGCTTTGGAAAATCACCTTTTTTAATGGGTAAACTATGGAAAATCACCATGTTTAATGGGTAAATCAACTATTTCTATGGGCCATTTTCAATAGCTATGTTAAATTACCAGAGGGTACTACCCAACAGATTTGTGAGCTAAGAATTACATTTATGAAATTTGGGTGTTACAATAAGCAATTGATTTTCGATTGTGATAGGCCATAATGAGGATAGTGTAGTTGGAAATTGGATGTGTTTTTCAAACAAGCATTGGTTTATTTTTAATGTTTGAGATTGAGACTTGGTATTAAATACACTGATGGAAAAAATATGGATTAACTTAAGCATATAATTCTTGTCAACATGCAAGTTTCTGATGTATTGCGGTGAGCAAATTGTCACCCAAGATAAGGGGAGATCCAGTGGTTTGACATGGAACCATGCTGTGTTTTTGAAGACAAAGAACTTCCTTGCCCGAGAGGGCTCGTTGACATGAGTACAAGGAAGTATTTGGGATTTGAGGGCCAAGAGAATGGTCTAAGCACACAGATCCGATGTATGTCGAATTCAATGTCGAAGAAATTGATATTTCGTCGCCTATCGAGCTTGTGTTGTTCTTAGGTTGGAATCTAAGCAGGATAATGGGCCACTTAGTCTTGACTTATGGCCTCTCCAGGGAGATTTTGCTTGACACTATTCATCAAGATGAACCCACTTGTGCTATCTTGTGCTTATGTATGTTTGTTTCTTAGGTGTTTTTCTTTGTTTCCGTTGAAGGTAAAGTCAATTGGCTGATGCCATTTCGTGCAGTTCGAAGGTGCTAGAAGTTCTGAATTTCATTGGATTGGTTTGCTGGGGCTTGCCAATATAAGGGTTTTCCTGCAACACGTTCCTTGGCAGTAATTAGAGTGAACCATCATGAATTCAATCATATCAAGAAATTTGGTTTGAGTCTTGCTTCAAACCTTCCAGAACATGAAATCCCTTTTATATAAATCAAAATTCCATCATGAGCTATCCCCGATAAATAAATGGCTAGAAACCGCGTATTGTTTTCTTGGGTCTTCAATCGTGCAGATCCCCGTCTTCGGTCTGCAGCTCAGGTTCTTGTCGCCCCACACCAACCGCCGCAGCGACTCCTATGGCGGAAGTGCCGCGAATCGGAGGTGCATTGGATCATTGGGCAGTGCTTTCGCCATGAGCATTGAATGAGATGAGTCATGAGGTAATCCCATCCCTCTAACATGAAACACACCCGTAAGATCCCGTAAGTTGGTTCCAAATATGTGTTTTTCTAAATTTCTCCACTAAAGTATGGTTCTTGGGGAGTTGTTTCGTCGTAGAGGGAGATGAATGAGGCAATGAAGTACACTTGATAAGAATCCGTCCCCAATCGGTATGCTATTCGTTTATGGCATTTTATGGCTGGGTGTGACCCAATTTTAGATTCGGTATGCTTGCAGCTATGACTGCAGGTTGCCCCCATTGGAACAAAAATCAGCCGCCGGATTTTGACAGGATTTGGACCTGAAAAAAAACACATTGTTTACATGAGCCATGAGCCAACATTTCGCTTTTTTGGGTTTCTAAATTCGTACCATTAGATTGTTTGGCACGCAAATCAGTACTTGTATGTAACTAAATGTTCAATCAGCCATTAGCAAACATGTTCATTTTGAACTTGTGAGTTCAAAATATTACAGATTCACAATTACTATTATTGGAATATTAGACTCATAACATACATAACTCATTAATATCATTGCACTTCTGTATGCCCCTCAGCAGTTGCATGGCTTCTGAGCCTTGGCGCCAAGGCGTTTGTTGTTGGAGATCCTGGCGGCCATTCGCATCGCTTCTCAGCTGTTGGTGACCCCTTGGGCCTTCATCGAGAGGTAAAGCTGGCATTCCTGGACTTGGTGTTGGAATGGGTGTGTCTGAAAATGTCGTGTACCCCTAAACCCAATGGTTAATGATCATTATCCCTATTAAATGGCTATAATATCAACCCTGGATTAATAAACCCCTAGGCCGTTTAATTGGGGGGGTACCATTTAAGTATCAGATTATTGGGGGAGTACCCCCCTAATTAATAAACCATGGTTTATTAATCCGGGGTTGACATTAATTGGGAATATACCCTATTTTCAGACAAACCCGAATGAATGATTCAACGTCTCACTTTTTGCCAGAAGCTTCGAAGCCCCGAAGTTCAACACAAAAGATGATAAGAACATATAAGAACCACTAGTAATGTCGCAACTTCCAATGGTAAATCATTCTCCGACCACTTCCGGCCTAATTTGTTTGTGGATTCGTTTAAAATCACAGAAACGGCAGTCTTAGGCTTAAGTCACCTTCTTGTCGCACCAATGTTTATCCATCCGATAATTGACTATACTTGACTCTGATATATTATGATAATTAGTGGTCCCAACATTATAGATGTGGTTTTTGGTGTTTTTGCCTTTCCAAAACTATCAATTGATAAGTTCCACTTGTCCCATTCCAGGTATAAATTCGCGCGATCCCTGAGGCCGTTGGAACCAGGCGCGTGTTGTCTGTCAAGGCGCGAGGGAAATTAGAGATGTGGGTATGGGTAAAATATATTAAGCCCTAAGCAACCAATAGGTTTTATAGTTTCTGTTTAATATTAACCATGCCCATGATTATAGTTTTATTATTGGTTATAAACCATCTATCCATTCCAGCTACTAAATGGCTATAGCAATTGATTTGCAACGCAGATGTTTGACAGGGATTAGAACATATTACAACCATGCTTATGTGCAACATACTATACAACTGGGATGCACATCGGTGGATGTGGTTGCGCGTGTTTTTGGCACATTCAAAGAGATGGCCGGAAGTTGTTTGGGTCAGATGTTTTTCATAGTCGTTCCGGTTCTGAGATCATGTGGATACCATTCCCCATGCAATGTGGGTTGGTTCATCATTCCTGTCTTCTCAGCTGACCCGCTTTCAGTCGGGCATCTAAGATAGGCAATGAGGGTCACAGGGGTGTGCACCTGTCGAAGTACCTGCCCAAACCTTTATTGATGCATCATCCTCTCCTTCCTCTCAGCTGTACAGGTCACTGGTGGGCCACGATGGGCACGCCTAGACCACTTGTTTTCAAGAGACGAATAATCAGCAGTTAATCCATGCATGTTGTCGATGGCATCTCATGATGCACCCACACATATCCCCCAAGTACTGTAGCCAAAACATATTAGAGGCACACTAACAGGGAGTTTCCATGGAGATATCCATCGATATGCAATATTCATTTTCATATATATTTATATATCTAATATATATGTATAATACTGGCCTAAGGTTAAGGAAGTCAAAAAGTGACAAGATGGTTTTTTGGGAATATTTGTTGGGTTCCATCCGCAACCGCCATTGACTCAATATGATTCCAATAATTGATGTTCATTATTACCCGAGTTCAACTGTTCAATGGAGTCGTGGTTGCCCTTGCGGTAACCAACCTCAGAATCAATTCTGATGATATCATCATTTTAATTTGACAAAATAAAATAAACATTTAGACAGAGCGGTCTATACCCTGAGTCTCGAAAGCTACTGTAGTGTTTTTAGTAGCCCGTTAATTTACTTAAATTTTCAAATTTACTAGTAAAATTTACTAGGACCTAGTAAAGTAAAATTATCAATTTACTAGCCTAGTAAAATTTACTAGCAAAGTAAATAAATTTACTAGCCAAGTAAATTTCCATTTACTAAGCATGTAAATTTTTGGCTTGCTTGTTTTTTCAAACAAAAGTGTTAAAATTTTGATAGCTGGGAGCTAAAATTTTACTTGTGAGACTGTAAGATAATTGTGAATTTTCAAAAACTAATTGTGACATATTGTGACATGTGAGGATACCAGTGATGTTTTTCAGGTGCTTGCGAGACTCTTAGTAAACTTGTGGGAATCAAGCAGATGTTTTAAAAACTTTGAGTTTTAGCTTGAAATGTAAAGATTGTGGGTCCTTCGGTTGTCATTTCAAAACAAATTGTAAGACTTGAAGCTAGTGCAAAGGTAAGTATTAAATTCTATAGGGTATTATTTTGATTCCACAACTATTCGAGACTGTAGGATACTTGTGAGACGAAATCGAATTAAGTCACTTTTGTTTCCACCGCCATAGATGATTACGAAGATAAGATAGAGGTGAAGGCAAGTCATCACATGTACAATGCATTTGCTAACTTCTAGTCATCGCTTGGCTTCCACCTCACAAGTAATTTTCACATATAAGCCTCATTGTTTGCTTTTAACCTCACAATTTATTTCCACATGTAAGTGTCATTGTTTAGTTTGAACCTCACAAGTACTTTTCAACTGCAAGTGTTATTGTGGGGTTTTAATATCACAGGTAAAATTCACATGTAGGTGTTATTCTTGGGTTTTAACATTACACGTGATTTTCACATGTAGGTGTTGTGGTTTAGTTTTTACCTCACAAGTAATTTCCACATGTGAATGTAACTGTTTAGTTTTGAATAGTTTTGACCCCACAAGCAACTTCTCCATATGGGGATGTCTCAAAATGAGGTGTCCGTTTTTTCCCTTAAAGGGGCCATTTTGGAACCAAAAACGGACACCTCATTTTGAGACATATCCATTTAAATTCTACACCAATATTTATCAAGTCAGTCAGACGTTTTTTTTTTGGAAAAACAAGGCGGCAACAACGATTTTGAAAGAAAATCGTTGAATATGGCTAAGTTCCTAATTAGCTATGTTTCAAATCTTATATCTAGATGAAAATTCACATGTTGCTGAATTATATTTGCTCAGCTCAGCGCTGAACAACAACTTCCACTTGTGAAAATATCAAATAGCACAAACCACAAGAAAATGAAAACTTAAGTTGTTCAAACAATTATGCATTTATACCTTTTGAAAGTGTTACTTGTGGAGTACTTGTGGTGTAATTGTTTCTCAGTTTCACGAGCATTGTTTTTCTATGGTGTTTTGCTTGCAACATGGCTGTTGCATTTGTTGGACTACATGTGCCTCACTTGAGAATTTCATGTTGATGTAGCCACTGTTGGATATAGATTAGCTGCCCAACAGATGAGGTTTTACCCCTGGCCCGTTCAATCTATCCATGGAAAAAATAGATTGATAGAAAAATAGTTTCCCCGGTTTTGCTCTGACTTGTGACTGCTTGTGATACTATCTCAATAATATCGTTGTGTTTAGAGTTTTCTTTCAAACAAATGAAACTAAGGTTGCCTTATTTTTTTGAAGTAAACCCTCCAGAAACCAACTAAGGCTGCCTTATTTTTTGCAGTCTCTCCATGTTAGTGACAAGCCTCAGGATGACGATGGTGCATCCCCTTTGTCCATTTGACATGGTTCAAACCATGTCACCTTTGATTTTTTGAGCTGGGAAAATTTATATACAGCAAAACAAACCAAAAAAAAAATATGAAGACCATAATATCAGATCTATCTTGGGCCATGACCAACTGTACCAAATAAGGAATCATCCTCGAAAAAAAAACAGTTATTGTTTTCTGACTGCCAAAGTACATCTGATGTTGAGCACAAATTTCAATCATGTTTTAATTAGGTTTGTTTAGTTATTTTTTTGGTTACTCATATAATTCCTATGCATTACTTGTGTCATTGGTTTTGTGCATTTGTAGAAAAATATATTTTTGATATATTTTCTAATGAATTTCTTTTGCATTTCTTAAGCATTTCTTATGCACTTCTTATGCGCTTTTAATGCACTTTATAAAAGTGCATAAAAAGTACATGTACTTTGATTTAAAGTACATGCACTTCTTATGCACTTCTTATGCGCTTTTAAAAGGTGCATAAGAAGTGCATAAAAAATGCATAAGAAATGCATAAGACATGCATACAAAAAACCTGTAAATTCATGATTGGCCCATCAAAATTTATCAGAAAATGTTTAAAAACACAAGGTTGTACTGAAAGGGAAATGCACAATCAAAGCATTACCGTAACACATGTAAAAGACTCAATTCTTCTCAAGTACCATGGATCTATCAAACCATTGCAAAAAGATAAAAACCTTGGCTCAACTCAGGTATCCCAAGTATATAACATATTTGAATAAGATTCCACATGTATATCAGGTTTGCTTAATCTCATGAACCACAGGTATCTGAAGGAGTCCACAAGTAACACTAAACCTGGTCACAAGTCAACTCCATGAAACATGAGCATCACAGGTACATGCAATACACTCTCAAGTAATTTCTAAGTGTACAAAGTACAAACTGCTCTCCACAAGTACCATCAGGTTTGCCACCCAAAACACCATCACCTTTGTTTTCCACATACATGGATGGTCTCTAAAAAATCTTACCTCAAAGAAAGAAGGCAGCCCCCCTCTAAGACTTGATTGGTGTTACCTCAAAAAATATTGAAACAAAAAGTTTCAGTTGATACAGCGTCACAAGTAATCACAAGGCAGTTGACCCAAACGTAGAGAAACTATCTCACTACCAATTTGGCATCGTCACCATTGATTATAGCCAGAGGTAAAACCTCATTTGTTACGCAGTTATCTTCAATGAATCACAAAAGCACTAAACTAAACATAATATTCCGCCAGTAATGCAATGGTGAAGAACTTTTTTACCCAACAGTGACTACATACAACATGAAAGTCTCAAGTAAGGCACAAGTAGTGCAGGATGGGCCTTTTTTTCAAACAACCACATTCACATGTTCAACAATTGTGACAGCCATGATATCATAGATATTATTGAGATAGTATCACAAGCAGTCACAAGTCAGAGCAAAACCGGGGAAACTATTTTTCTATCAATCTATTTTTTCCATGGATAGATTGAACGGGCCAGGGGTAAAACCTCATCTGTTGGGCAGCTAATCTATATCCAACAGTGGCTACATCAACATGAAATTCTCAAGTGAGGCACATGTAGTCCAACAAATGCAACAGCCATGTTGCAAGCAAAACACCATAGAAAAACAATGCTCGTGAAACTGAGAAACAATTACACCACAAGTACTCCACAAGTAACACTTTCAAAAGGTATAAATGCATGATTGCTTGAACAGCTTAAGTTTTCATTTTCTTGTGGATTGTGCTATTTGATATTTTCACAAGTGGAAGTTGCTGTTCAGCGCTGAGCTGAGCAAATATAATTCAGCAACATGTGAATTTTCATCTAGATATAAGATTTGAAACATAGCTAATTAGGAACTTAGCCATATTCAACGATTTTCTTTCAAAATCGTTGTTGCTGCCTTGTTTTTCAAAAAAAAACCGTCTGACTGACTTGATAAATATTGGTGTAGAATTTAAATGGATATGTCTCAAAATGAGGTGTCCGTTTTTGGTTCCAAAATGGCCCCTTTAAGGGAAAAAACGGACACCTCATTTTGAGACATCCCCATATGGAGAAATTGCTTGTGGGGTCAAAACTATTCAAAACTAAACAGTTACATTCACATGTGGAAATTACTTGTGAGGTAAAAACTAAACCACAACACCTACATGTGAAAATCACTTGTAATGTTAAAACCCAAGAATAACACCTACATGTGAATTTTACCTGTGAT